TGATCACAGCTTGCTTGGTCTCCCAATGAATCCTGGGTAAACCAAGGATAGCGAGGATACATCGGCACCCGTCCTCGGGCTAAAAGAAGGACGCATAACTTCTCTGATTAGTTGATGCAACGCGTCCAGCAGCTAAAGTTCAATGTTGAACATCTGAGCAAAGTTTCCAGGGGAAACAGGATGTACAATCTTTTAGTAAAGGCTGTTGACATAGCGAGCTAAAAGCCTGGCTGGTTTATAGACGAGTCTGTCTGGTGACTCTAACGCTGCTAAAGTAGTTTTCCTGAAGTGCTTCAGTCTGTCTCCCTGCCAGCTCCCTCATCCATGGAGCAAAGTTGTTATCTTAGCGGCTATCAGGCCCATAGAATGGCTCAGATTGTGCAGTAGGCTCAGTAGGCTGTGTTCACAGAGGAAATCCTAACCCTGAGTCATTCCTTTCTCCATGTGGAAGTAATCAATCTATTTATGTGTAATCTGACAATAATTCCAGTAGTTCTTCATGTGCTGTAAAAATCAATAAAATGATCCACATGTCGCTCATATTAAACTAAATAAACACAAATAAATCTCCTGTCCCATCACTGTAGAATCCTCTCCCTATAAATATTTAATTCTCTGTGAAAAAGTGCCGATCGTTCTTTAATAAACGCAATGTTTGCTTTTAAAGCTAATGTGTCTAATGCACCCAGTGAATGATTGTTCTGTTGTTTTATGGAGAAACTGACCAAAATCTGACTAAATGATGAAATAAAACAGCGTGATTGGATGTAAGGAGAGCGGAGACAGACGCTGTATGCTGAGCTGACAGAACTCCACACCGCAGCAAATCATCGTCCCACATGGATTACTTTCTTGTGATTGGTTGAAAACCATCCCCAGTATAAAAAATGCATTTGTGTATCGAGGAACATCTGGAGAGTCTCAGTGAAGTTTATAGACCACTGGTGCTTTGGAATTTCATTTATAATTGTTTATGGAGCAGAAACACCTGTTTAAATCATGTGCGGTGCTCGTTTAAATCACATGTGTGTATTTGTGAAAATTGAGACCAATTTAGCTCCATGAAAATCAGCTCCTCTGATTGGTTGATGCGGCGCGTCCAGCAGCTAAAGTTACATTTTTCTAACTCCAGCAGCTGCTGCGTGTGAAGCGCCTCAGATGCTAATGATGCTCCTGCTGCTCAGACGCTGCAGGACCTTTAGCTACGCCGTGATGCGCATCAACCATCGACTCTGCATGGAAACCTGCTGCTTCTGCTGCCTCTGCAGCCTCTGCTGCCTGCGTTTGAACGTAGCATTACTGTTCTTCACGTGACGTGAATGAAGGATGGTGCAGAATAAGAGATTATGTTTATTAAAAAAATATCTGTGTCAGAAACACATCTTATTAAAATGTCTCTAAGTCTACGTTCACCCTGCAGGCATTAACGCTCAGTTCCGATGTTTTTGTGAAATCCGATTCTTCTGTGTGGTCAGAGGACGCAACGACCTCTCCAATAGTGAGCGTGCTCCGTGGTTACGGAAGTAAACATGGAGGAAAGCTCTGGAGCCATCTTTCATTTCTTTCCTAACCTCAGCCAGTGGATTATCATCAATCATGGTCCGCCATGGTTGTTACATAGTGACCTTTGCTGAGTATCAATGAATGCGACCTGAACGTTCAGACACAGGTCTCATTCGTACAGATCAGATAGGTATCGGATCCAGGAGCACAGAGCCAGGTGGCCTGGGTCACATCGTTGTTGTTCAGTCATGGAACGATTGGATCCAGGTGGCATATGGGCAGAACAGTCTGATTGGCTTCAGGCTGCGTAGGAACGTAGCCTTCCTCAGCATGAAGGTATTAATCTCTGGAAATGATCCGTTATTGTGTCTAAGGCTAAAAGCTTTCAGCAACTAGCTTCCAGCTGATTGGGAGGAAAGTTTCAGCCTCTAACCTGCCTGACTGAGCAGTTCATCAATCAGCTGCATTTATTTTATGCAAAAGAAAATCTCAAATGCAAATCAGATTACAATCCAGTTTGGGGGGTAAAATCCTGCATTAAATGAACTGTAATGAGAAGGAGAT